GGCCCTACAAGCGTTTCCCTGTGCTTCCAGATGGTGCAGCTGTGAGTCCCCAGTGCATTTCCTGGCTGGGACACCAGAGAGAGGTATGGTAGGAGGTGGGGGGAGGGGGGAGGCTCTGTTAAGTTACATTTTCATGGAGGTGATCCAAGTCTACTTGGACCTGGTTGCTGCTGTGGTGGCTTGAGCAAGAGGTAGGGCTCAGAAGATTTGTAGTAGGACACAAGTGTCCCATATAGACACATTCTAGAAATAGAATTTGTATTTCTGGGTCAAAGGACATCCAAAATTGTATCTCTTTTAAAATACAAATACCCAGGAGAGTACATTCAGATTGATTCATTTATTTTGCATCTAGATATTCTTCTAGTACCTGAGGCTATAATGGGGGTAAAACAGATAAGACCTCACAGGCCAGAGCATATATTCTTCTGCAGGGAGAGAGACAGTAAACATGGGAGCAGATACATAAAATCATTTCTGACAATGGTAAGTGTTACAAAGCAGATGAAGCTGGTGTGATGCTGTTTGTGGTGACCTGAAAGGGACTGAGAGATCATGGTGAGAACACCAGGGTCTGAGTGGAGAAGCTCAGGGTTGATAGAATAGAACTAAAGGAGAATGTGGAAGAGGCTGCTGGAAGGAGAGGGAGGGCTGGACCCCAAGACACACTGCCAGCTGTATATTTTTCCTTAGGCCTCAGCATAATCAAGCGGGGCGCCTGGGTGGCTCAGTCGTTAAGCGTCTGCCTTCGGCTCAGGTCATGGTCTCAGGGTCCTGGGATCAAGCCCCACATTGGGCTCCCTGCTCCGAGGGAAGCCTGCTTCTCCCTCTCCCACTCCCCCCTGCTTGTGTTCCCTCTCTCGCTGTGTCTCTCTCTATCAAATAAATAAAAATCTTTAAAAAAAAAACAACATAATCGAGAGAGATATTTCAGTTTTTGGAGTGTGGCCCTCCCTCAGTGTATATACTGTATGGGAATTAATCACTTTTTAATTCTTAGCCTATATCATTAACATTTGTATTATATAACAAACATAATTGCTTTTTCTTTGATGTTTTGGAATACACTTTAGATCTTAGAGTGCCTTTGGGTTATTTTCATCAATCTCAGCGTTAATGTGGAAAATGGAGCAAATGGAAATTTTCCATTAGGTCATAATGCTATGTGGCTGGAGGTTTATGGTGTCAATATAATTCCACTTCATATAAGAAGCAGCACTGTTCAACTGCACCTTTGCTCTAGGGAGCTCAGAAAAATTAGTTTTTAAGGCATAAATTTATTCTTCAGACCTTTTAATTACAATGCCCAAGATATTTTTGTGACCTAAATAGCAAATTAAGAAACCACCTCTTTACATTGCTAGGTGTTTCCCGCATTTGTTACTAATAGCAGAGTTTATCCACCCTGTAGAAAATATGCCCTGGGATTGTGATAGCCCCAGATTAAAGCACATCCTTCCTTTTCGGTGATAGGCAAAAGCCATAAGAATCAGAATGAGATCACATATTGAAAGATTAGAATACTAAATGTGATCTCCCATATCAGAGGTTTCTAAAGTTTAGTAATTTGTGTGTCACCTTCATGATTTTGCTATATTCTATACTGCTGGCACTATTAAATATTTAATGTTTTTCTTTATGTTGATTCAATTCTTGCTTAAATAAATGTACTTAGAAAAAAGTTTATATTATTGAAATAAATAGAGGGTAACTTTAAAAACCTACTCCTAACTAATGACCTAAAAATGTTTATCTGGGTGCCATCTAAAAGCATTATACTCACTCTGGTTATTGCTGCTCTCATAGTAGACTCGACCTGTCCCATACCAGGTGTGTGACCTTGGGCAAGTTACCCAACTTCTCCAGGCCTCTGTGTTCACTTGTGTATAATGGGGATAATGAGATATTATTGCCTGCCAAGTGCTTAGCACAGTGCTGAGGTAGTAATTGCTCATTAAGTGGAAGCAATTACAACAATGTATTGTTGAAGTGATTGTTTTCTTTATTACTCTTGCTGAAAAGAGAAGTATTGGAGATTTAGAAATTGGACAAACACTTCCATTCTGCACCTACAGAGAGGGCTCAAGGTAGTGGAAGGAACTGTAGACCAAAGAGTTGGCAAATTTGATTATATTCTTAGCTTTCCACTGACCAGCTGTATCACTTGGTCCAGTCTTTTGGCCTCTTCTAGGATTTGGTTTCTTTATCAGATGAATTAGAAGGTTTGATTTGATTTGATCCCAAGGCATCCAGCTCATAGGCTGTCAGCTGTTTGAGTGGTTCTGATTGTGGGATATGGTTCATCTGAAATTAGGAGCACTTTTTATTTTGTTTTGTTTTTGCTGGCTATCTAATAGACAAAGTAATCTAGAAAGTTGGTGTGCCCCTGGCTGCTTTCCTGTTTTCATCATGAGCAACTGATGGTCACCATGGGTCATGTTAGTAAGCCTGGGCCAATTATTCATTGTTTTTGAAGCTGTATGTAATTAATAATTAACGAGCTATTGAAATTTAGTCCTAGTAAAGTTACATCATAAAACTGAGGCATTTTTAAAGGATTTACTGACAGAAGGATATTATAAATAAACTTGTTTTATACATTTGACTAACACTTAAGGTATATTTAATATATATTGTTTGCCAGGCACGGGACCACTTGACTCATTGTTGCCATTAATTAAAAATTATATGTGAATTTCCGGCTACATGGCCTACAATTGAAATAACTTTTCTGTCCCTCGTGTATGTATTCCACAGTTTTATGAATTTCATTATCCTGATAAGGTAGATCTGGACTTGGTAGTGATGAAGTTGAAGGTAAGGAAGCAAAATAAAAATTTTAAAAGCCTGCTGTAGCTACTTTTTTAGGTGGATGTGTATATAAGTGAGGGCGTACATGTGTATGTTAGCATAGTATGCATCAATTACTAATTTTTTCACTTAAGAATATATCTTAGAAACTGTCCTATTCATATAGCTTCCTCATTGTTTTGAATGACTGCAGAGCATTCCATTGAGTGGAGGGGATATAAGTGTTTTATCAGTCTCCTTGCAATGGACATTTAGGCTTTTTCCTAACTTCTGCTGTTATTCACAGTAGTGCTCCAATGAATGTCTTGTGCATGTGAGATTTTGAGCATTTGTTAGTGTATCTGTGGGTTAAATTGCTGGGTCGGAGGATATGTGCATTTGTAATTTTGACTGAAATTGGCAAATTGGTTTTCAACAACGTTGGGTCAGTATACACTCCTACCAATAGTGCATGAGTGAGCCCGTTTCTGCTCAACCGCTTTTTCCCCCCAAGGCTCCTGTCTTTCTATACCACCAGTTTGAATACTACTTTCTAACACTGTATTGTCTGTGGGAAAATGCTAACTAGATGGGTGATTGTTAGTATTTGTGCAAATTTCACAGAGATTAAATCTTACACTGAAGACCACTTTCTTAACTGTATGTGTTTGCTGAATTAAATGGCAGCACTGTTAAGCATCTTGAAATGTACTTTACGTTGCTTCAGAGCACAATTATACCAGTGTAGAAAAACCTCCAGTTTGCAAATTATCAACAACTAAAGGTTTCCATGGAGATCATTCTCATAACATAATGAAACACACTATACATATTATACAGAAGGTTTCGCTATAAACAGCATTATTTGCATTTTGTTTTTCTTAAATTCAGAAGGAAAAGGCCACTAGATACTGTTTCTATTTTTTTAGAGAAAACTAATATTAGTTGGTGAAGTTGCACTAAAAACACATGAAATTATTCTCTCAGTCCTTAATTCTGGCCATTTCATTGTGTACATGTGGGTTAACTACATATGCAGCCTCTAGATTGGGAGGTAAAACTTCTGTGGTTCATTTAAACAAGTAGACTAGTTTGTGTTACAGAAGGACATGAACACACTTTTTTGTCCACATTTAGGATTTATTACATTGGTAGAGAAAACTTATAAAAGATATCCTAAACTACTGTTTCTTTTCTCTTTTTCTCTTTGGTCTACAGCTTGGCATATATGAGAGTCAATTCCTGAAGGGACTTAGGTTTTATTTATTTTTTATGCTAATATGATCTTTTCTAAAATTGATCATTGTTCTAATAGTTGAGGTTTATTTTTTCCTTTTAGCTTTTATAAAAGAGCAGCAGATGTTCAAGAACTTCTTTTTTTAATGAAGCTTTCCTCTTTAATTTGACTTTCAAATGTGGTACTTAACATAGCTTCACACTAATTCGCTTAAAAGGAAAAAAATGTTTCCATTATTGACCTATTTGAAAAGCAGTTGTGGTATTGGATATAGTGTTTATAGTGAAGATACTGGTGAGATCCCATAGAAAAACTCATAATTAATACAAAATCTCTTGGAATTATTCAAATACAAATACAAATTAAAAAGTTAATATTAAGTAATTATCTTTTGTGTTTTCCTTTTTAGCACATATATTACATTTTAGAGAAATTATCTGATTGTACTGAGACTGTTGAATTTAAAATTGTTCTGTCCCCTAAGGAAAGTAGTTTGTTGTGTTATTCAGATAGTGGAAGAGCAAAATGAGGCTTTGTTGTGGTATGTATTACTTTGGGCTCCTGCCTTCCCCACAAATCACTGAAGGTCATGACTGCTTGAATTGAGGGGAAAAAAACCATTTTGACTGAACCATAGCACCCCCTAGCATCCTAATAATTTATGTTTTTAAAAGTCAAAGGTACATTTTGTTTATGCTTATAAAAAAGAATGATTAATATCTGATATCTCTTATATTTTTATGACCAAGAAGGGATCTTTGAAAGATTCTATAGAAATTATGGGGAATGTGGGCATCGCCCTTTTTGCAAATAATTGTTCCATTACTTTCCATGGAGTATTCCATGGGTCCATGGAGTATTTGGGGCTGGATGCAGATCATAAGTTATAGCTGCATGTGTTGTGATCTGTATAGGAGTGGTAAATAGTGTTCCTCCGTCCACCTGCCTAACCGGACTTACTTGTATGTTGCAGGTACTTCTCCCAGCAGCTGGTCTGTTACAGTTACAGGATGTGAAGAAGACCTGCTGTGAATTTTTGGAGTCTCAGCTTCACCCTGTCAACTGCTTAGGAATTCGGGCTTTTGCTGATATGCATGCATGCACAGACCTCCTGAACAAAGCCAACACCTATGCAGGCAAGTGGAATAGACTTCGGCTGAGTTTGAGACAGAGGAATCTGGAACTCTTGAGTTCTGATGGGATTCTATAGTGATTTTTGGAAAGTTGTGTTGTGTTTCTGGATCGGGACTTTATAATAATACATTTAAAATCTTACGATGTATTACTGCAGAATTGAACCATGTTTATAAAATTCTGAACTTAAAAAAAAACTCTATCAATTGGTATTGGGCCTGAAGAATAGAATAGATAGTTTTATGGAAGTATTGAATCCCTATGTCTTTTTCTTTCAGATTGTCAAATTAACATACATATGAGAAAATATTTGCATATGAATTAAGTCATTTAATTTCTGTGGCTTTGTATCCCCTTTTCTTGAACCTAGCAGAACAATTTTCTGGCTTAAAAATTTTCTTTTTTTTTTTTTTTAAAGATTTTATTATTTATTTATTTGACACAGACACAGCAAGAGAAGGAACACAAGCGGGGGAGTGGGAGAGGGAGAAGCAGGCTCCCGGCTGAGCAAGGACCCCAATGCGGGACTCGATCCCAGGACCCTGGGATCATGACCTGAGCCGAAGGCAGACGCTTAACGACTGAGCCACCCAGGCGCCTCCTGGCTTAAAAATTTTCAAAGGTGTTGAAGTCTAGTTGCCTTTGGGCAGAGTGGAGAAGTAGATCTGAAATATAGGCCTCTTTCTCCTTAGACACTAGTTCTCAGGACCTTCTGGCACCCTCCTCCTGTGGCAGAGGACAGCCCGTTGCTGTTGGCAAGGAAGCCATCACTTTGGTTGCTGTATAGGACCCTCTGATCCCCTATGTCTCCAGTTGAGGAGCAGAGTTTCTTGTTACTGTGTTGGAGTAGCTAAAGTACACAAAAGTAACCTATAATTTATTTTGCTCTGAATTTATAAGCATTTTAAAAAATACATATTAAAGGTGATTCTTAGAAAGTTTCTAATTTTTTTAACCGTCTTTGGGAAGATAAGCCTGGTGGAAGTTATAACCCACCATCTCTGTCCTGTATTTGTGAGATCCAATAAGAACAGTTACTATAGAACCTTCCATGACCCTGCCCCTTAATATGCTTGAGAACCCCAACTTCCTCCAACCTTCAAATGCAAGAGCCCCTTGTCTAAACTCTGCTCCACGGTGCTTACTCTGATGAGTAAGGGACACTGTACTGTAGCACATTGACCCAGATAAGGGGTGTGTGTGTATGTGTGTGTGTGTACATGTGCACGCACAAAGCACTGGAGAGGAATAGTGCTAGCATCTCTACTGTATTTATCAAAGAAATAATGGTAAGTGGTTAGTTGGAGAAAAAACCTGCAGTGCTGCAGTGAAACATAGTATGTCCAGTAAATTTGAATTTTATAGATTTCTTTGGGGTGACCTGATTAGTCAGACTACCCTTTATAAAATTCTTTCAGTGGGAAGATGTGATCTGAATTTCAGAAAGTTAATTTACAGATGAACTTTTAGCACACAACCCTTCTGTAAGTTGGGGAATGCCTATAATATGTAATGATATTCATGTAATCCTTCTGAGTGGGATGAGACATTTTAAGAAAAACCAAAGACAAATTTGGATTCACTGATGTGTTCCAGTGAATTCAGCTGTTCTTCAGCTAAGTAGAAAATTTTCCGTCTAAATTTGTAAGATCCATTAACTCTAGACATAATGTGCCTGTTGTAAGTGATTTATATTGGGAGAATGAAGGAGGCTTGTATATTTTTTGATAATTTTTTGTGCATGAAACAGTCACTGTTAAACATATCTTTCTTGGGCAGCTAGTTGTCTCATATGACTTGATACACGTTATTGACTTTTAAGAGATAGGGAAAGGGACTTGGGGACAGAATGAATAAAGCAGGACTCATGCAAAAGATGTCCACACATAATTCACATGATATACTGGAACTCTTAGTTCTGTTCCTGTCAGAACCAACTCATGTACTGTGTGCTTAGGAGATTTTTATTGGATTTAGTTATTTCTTTCTCTTATTTAAAATCTTAAATTTAGTGTGGTATACTATAAAATATGAACAGTTATCCACCAGAATTTGAATACCTCTATGTCTTAGTTTGTAGAGTTCTTCTTCATAATTATGCAAAGAACTTTTTGTGGACAGTTTAATGTCATTTTCAGCAAAATTATAAAGAAAAATTAATTCTTAACTTTTTAAAAGATTTATTTATTTATTTTAAAGAGAGAAAGTGCAGGAAGGAGGAGATGGAGGGAAGCAGGCTCCCCACTGAGCTCGGAGCCCGACTTGGGGCTCAATCCCATGACCCATAAGATCATGACCTGAGCTGAAAACCAAGAGTTGGATGCTCAACAGACTGAGCCAGCCACCCAGGCGCCCCTAATGCTTAATTTTTAATGCACTATGTTTTATTTTATTTTTTAAAAAAAGATTATTTTAGAGAGAGAGAGTGGGGAAGGACAGAAGGAGAGGGAGAGTTAGAATCTCAAGCAGACTCTGTGCTGAGTATGGAGCCCAACTGAGGGCTCCATCTCACGACCCTGAGATCATGACCTGAGCCGAAACCAAGAGTCAGACGTTTAACTGACTGAGCCACCTAGGAGCCCCTAATGCACTATATCTTAAATCGTAGTCTAGTGTTAAAGGATATACTGCTTTTATACCATGCTTTTGAATCTTATATTTGCTTGAGTTTATAAGTAACATTTTACAACATCTTTTATTATGAAAAATTATAACACACGTGAAAATAGAATAGTACTATTCATCAAACGTTAGGAGTTGTCAATTCATGAAAAATCTTGTTTCAACTATATACCCCTGTTATTAACTATCCCCCTCTTGTTATTATTTTTTATATGTAAACTTTTTAATGATATCCAATATATATATATACATATACATGTATATATATATATAGAAAAGTACACAGTGGCAAGTCTACATCTTGATGAATTTTTACATCCTCTTGTATTATTTGAAGCAATTCTGTCATCATTTCGTATCTATTTCATTCTTAAAATTTTAAAGAAATAAAATCGCAGTGACCAACTTCATATAATGAAACTATTTCCATATACTTTGGCATATTAATAACAAACTTTCTAAAGTAAATAATTCAGAATAATACTAAAAAACAGTTGTTCTTCCTAGTGAAAAAACCTGATTGTTGTTTATATCTTACACAAATAGGAGGTGGGGAGGTAAGGAGTTCACACGGGAAGATAACAGTCTTTTTTTCCTGCTGTGAACAAATAATTGTTTAGTCCTTCCTTTCTTTCTTTTTGCAATTCAAGCACTTTATGCATCCAGAAAATCTACCCAAACTCCTAAATTACTTTCAAATTCAAATCATGGAGCATGTGGAAAGGTCTGGGAGAGTGAAGGGGGACAGTGGCAATTAAGAAAGTTAATACCTTCCTTTTTCATTTTTCTGTCCTAGACAGTGGGCCTGTGACAGGCCTTTCTAGGCAAGAAAGAAAGAAAGGAAGGAATACAGAGCAATAGAAGGGTTCATACATACATGCTTACAGACATGGAAAGAAGAGGGGAGGAGAAAGGGGGGCCGACAGAGAGAAAGGATGGGAAAGGCAAGAAGGCTTGTTTAACCTCAGGGTACTTTCTGATCCCAAGCATGCCTGGAGCACTCCTGTCCTTTGAAAACTCACCCGAGATTCTGGACATAAGATCTGCCTCATTCCTTTCTCTTGCAGAGTGGAAATGAGTTCTCTGGTGTGTATTATAATTGAATTAAATTTTACAGGTATAATGAAAGAATTAAGGTGCTCCGTGGAAATCTCTTCTATGAACTCATGCTTATTTTTCATAATATCACATTTTTAAAGAAAGTAAAAATGTGAGAAACCAGTGGGCGGGGTAGAAAGCCTGAGCAGGGAGGGTGTAAATCCTTGCTGCTTATCCTGCTGCACTCTCGTGGCTTTGGCCGTGTGGTGCTGGCAGTCACGGCCTGTCACGCTGGCCCACGCGGCTTCACCAGGGCCTGTAGTGACATGTTCTTCAAATTGTAGACAGCTGACGGCGACCAGACCAGCCAGGTTAAATGATCTGCATGTTGAGGCATGGTGTTCTGGACTGTAATCAGCCTTTGTGATGCTCTTGAATGATTATTTTCTTAGCTAAAGAGCTAGATGGAATTATTTTTGCTGCATGCCTAAAAAAGAAAATTTTCACACCTAATTTCAGGTTGTAGAGACTTGTTTGGATAATGCTAACTTGTGGATGCTTTTACTTCCCGTGTGTTTTGAGCGGTGTCCATATTTTAACAGTTTTCCAAATCATGAATACTTTTGTTTTTAGCATTTTCTCCAAGATAAAAATCTGGAGGAGATAAAAACTGAACTTATTAGTTTCAAGGCATTTTAATAGTCCCAGACTGTTTTGGAAGTTAGGTTTTAATTTTAATTTGAAATACGAATTTTGTTTAGCCTCTGTGTTGACAAACAAAAGTTGCCAGTTGTGGAATTGTAAGAATTTCAAACAAATTTAAGGGAAACAACAGTTTTAGATTCTTAATCATTCCTTCATTTCACCACTCCCTACACTAAAAGTTTGAGAAGCTACTTACTATCAGTTCTTAGTGATCTTTGGGGAGATTTGCAGTATCATTTTCAAGCCAGTGTTCCAGCTGAAATTCTGGGATTGGTGAACACTCAGCGTTCCCCAGTACCAGGAAAACCTGAAAAGAAGTCTTCTCCAGTCCCTGACATACTTTCAATTTCTTTCTCGTCCTCCTCTTGCTCTTAACCCTGTTGTCTGTTTACATCCTGGCCTGAACTGCCCTACTTTTAGCCTTTCCACCATGCTTGGAAAATGACCACACTTTTTATATGCCCAGCTGTTTTCATGTGTGTCCCCTCTCCCTTTGTCTTAAATGAAACTTTGCTTTCCTTCTAAACCTGAGAACTGGGGGCAAACTTCTTTAGAGGACCACCCCCCCCCCGACTTGCCGGGAAGGTGGGTAAAGGGGTACGACTTCAGCCTGTTGTTCTGTCCCTGTCACTGTCCT